CAGGGTCAAATCTGGGTGTCACAGCAGCTCAGGTGTAGCAGCAACTCAGGTGTGACCCRKGGCCGTTTTCTCTCCCCAGGTGTGGTTCAGCCACGGAATGGAAATCAAGGAATGGTGGTGAACAMCCAAATCCCAGTCYGGCAGTGACTTTCMCCCATTTTTCCCCARTTCTTYRGGAYGTTTGGGTGGGRCAGAGGCAGATTTCGKGTGTCACAGCAGCTCAGGAGTGACCCRYRSCCGTTTTCTCTCCCCAGGTKTGGTTCAGCAACCGGCGGGCGCGCTGGCGCAAGCAGGCAGGAGCCAACCAGCTGGCCGCCTTCAACCACCTGCTGCCGGGAGGGTTCCCGCCGGCCGGAATGCCAGCCCTGCCCCCGTACCAGCTGCCCGACTCCTCCTACCCCAGCACCACCATCTCCCAAGGTGAGTTCCACTCTGCTCTGCTCCTCTCCGCTTCCCTTCCCCGCGCCGCGTCCATCGGGTCGGGGTTGGAGCATCCCGGGGTGTCCCTGCTGGAATGGGGATAGGGTTTGGGGTTCTTCTAGAGCATTCTGTGATTCCCTCATCAGTCCTGTCTGGTCYGTGATATCCTGCTCGTGGATTGTGAGGCTCTCCAGGTTTTCCTTTAGTTGGGAAAATCTGKTTTTTCCTCCAGTTGGTGGAAATTCCTGTTTTCTCCCCCATCTCAAATGCTTCCTGCTGAGCCCCTGTGTCCCCTGGCTGGAGTTCCGGACAAGGAGCACAAACCCCTAAACCGGGGATTGTGTGGGTGTTCCCTCCCCTGGATAAATCAATCCCTGCACCAGGGTTTAGGGAAATACTGGCGGGAATGGTTGTGGGAATATTCCAATGCAAGGAATATCGATMATTCCAGTGGAAAGAATAACYTTAATCCCAATGGAAGGAATATTGATAATTCCTTCCAGCAGAAGAAATATCAGTAATTCCGTGGAAGGAGCACCAGTAATTCCAGCCAAACTAATATTGATAATTCCAGTGGAAGAAACATTTTTAATTCCAGTGGACTGGAAGGAATATCAGTTCCAGCAGAAAGAATAT